ACATCCATTGGCCGGATACCATCAGCAACAGCCTTTTGTGGGAGAGAACAAACCAGCTTCCAGCTGGAGAGGAAATTAGGAAATGAAGATGGAAATGGATAGGACATACATTATGCAAATCATCAAACTGCATCACGAGGCAAGCCCTAACTTGGAATCCTGAAGGGATGCGGAAAAGAGGAACGCCAAAGAAAATATTACGCCGGCAAATAGAAGCATATATGAAAAGGATGAATAGGAACTGGAAGGAGCTGGAAAGGTTAGCTCAGGGCGGGGTTGGATGGAGAATGCTGATGAGCGGCTTGTGCTCCTTCACGAGGAGTAACAGGCGTAAGTAAGTAAGTCTATATACCGAATAAGTCGGAGTTATGAAATTATACCAAGAATAGAATACAATGAGTCAATAATATCATATTCGCTGTGATAATTAAGAATATCTATGCTTACCATTGTACAGCGTTTTGAGTGCTGTTGAATTTCAAATTAGAACAAAAAGTCTATCCACTATATCACCTGTTTAAATGGTTGTCATAGTGATGATGATTCCTGGTGGGAATCACTTTTAGAGTCATCAAAATGTCTGAAAAATTGTCTAAATAAAGTGGACTATTATTTGTTCAAAATGGTCTGAACAAGAAATCCTTATTCCAAAAACCAAATATCTCTATAAAAATCGATTATATTTTTTTTTAAAAACTGACTCTAGCGTCAATTTTAGAGTTGTGAAATTGAATATTTCTCGAAATCTTTACTCGGATCAAATAAGAATGGGTGTTTTATATTACTATATTATATCGTTTTATTGTATGCGTACTGTTAGTCTATTCTCTACATCATAAGTGGACGGTTCTTAAGAACATGTCGAAACATTGTAATTATACTCAGATAATTTTTCATGCATAGTTATCTATTGAAACGATTAACAAACCCTTCACTTTCGTTTGTCTTTTAAATTGTTAGTGGATAGGTCAAGAACTATTGCAGGCTTAGTAAAAGTTTGGTTGAGTCATAGTTGTGTTGGGTAAATTTTTAGTGTATGCTACCTATATGTGTCGATATAAATAATATGTAACACCAGTCAGAAAAGGAATACCTGGGAACAAGAGGTTGAGGCGATCCAGCTGAAAAGAACAGAAATTTAAACAGAGAATAATTGTGATAACAGCAGGAATGAAAGAACGATAAAGTTTTGTATAAACAATTGATGGAAGATGTGCAAATGAAGTATTTAATGTATAGTTTTTTCAGGTGCATCCAACTGACGAGTCCCGAATAGGACGAAACGCGCGTTCTCAATTTCTTTGTTAGCCACCATCCATCTTTGCTTATAATGTTAGTGACTTAAATCACAGGATGCACATATGCAAATAACAGATTGGTCGATTTCAGTCTTAAACATCAATGGGAAGATTCAAGTAAGCAACAACTATGGATTGGTTGAAGTCATACCTCAGTTCCGTTTGATTCCAGCTTAGTTGTCCAAAGGTTAGGTGTTCGCACGCGAGACCGAAGGTCCTGGATCCGGGTCCTGTGTGCCGGATCGTAAGTGTGCACTTCTGAAGAGTCCGGTACTACAACGAAACGGCTATCCAATGCTTCTAGGCTTTTAATGGTGATCTAGCATTGATCGATTCATGATCTCAATTAAAAATCAAGCAACCTCTACAACCCTATACTAATAATTATTTATTTATTTAATAAAATATTATTATTTATTAGCTGGTGCTTTGCATGCAATTCACTAATCACAGTTATACCAAGTTAATTGTACAACAATGAAATTTGCTTGGCCATATTCAAGATTTTAACTACTTGTATATGTTAATTTGTAGGATCTTTCACATGATCTGGTAAAAATATTGAATCATATGTGTTTCATATATATACATATATATATATATATATATATATATATATATATATATATATATATATATATATATATATATATAGTAACTAAAAAATCACTGTTTGAGTAGCGTTTCTAAAATTTATAGGTTGCATCTAAAACATTCAGTAGGTGTTGTTTTACTTGTATCTTCCCGTTGTTATTTAGGACTGTAATTGATCAGTCTCATGTTAGCATATGTGCATCCTGTGAGGATTGCCTCGATGTAGGCTTAAGTCACAAGCTTTTTCAGCAAAGATGGATAGTAGCTAGCAGTGGAATCTATTCTGAACTCGTCAGCTGGATGTACCTGCGTCTCAGAGTTGATGTTCACTCTAAGACTCGAACCCAGTACCGTTCGCTTCAAACGCCATCGCGTTATCCACTTAGGTAGTGAATCCTGCTAGCCACTGGCTTGTGCAATGAGGTGAAGTTTAAATCCGCTTGGTGTTGTTTTACTTGTATCTTATCTTTGTTATTTAGGAATGCAATTGATCAGTCTCATGTTGGCATATGTGCATCCTGTGAACATTAACTCTGCGATGCAGGTACATCCAGCTGACGAGTCCCAAATAAGACGAAACGCGCGTTCTGGATTCCACTACTAACCATTATCTATCTTTACTTATATCTAAAACAGTTATAGGATGCTTACTTTCACTCGTTCAATGTATATTTGGACTGTTTTTTTTGCTGGGTACTAAGAAAAGAAAAAGAAGTAATTCCTATTTAAACTACAGTTTATGGTATTTCATGTTAAAAGATTATTTTGTTAAAGGTTTTTATCTCTATCAGACTTGAATAATTTACATAGTCTTATTATCTATGGGCAATGAAATGAATGAATAATGTGATGTTATGCAAGATATATTAAAAAATCTTCCCTTCTCTTAAATAAAAATTTATAGGTTATTTTCCTACATATACACATTTCCTTTAGGTCACTATTATGAAAGAAAATGATCAATGATGGATCAATAAATATCCATTCCTTTAGGTCTGTTATATATATATATATATATATATATATATATATATATATATATATATATATATATATATATATATATATAGTGGGTGGGAGGATGTTTTCTAGAATGAACTGTACACATAAATATTGATTAGCACAAAAATGTAATATGTTATTAGCAATGTAAAAAGAAGTTAACTATAGGTTAAATTTAGATGGGATTTTCTTATTTCAATCGATTTATCATTCATCTTTATATATGCACTGAGAGAGACAGAAAGATACATAAGATATGTATATGTATATATCTATATATCTATATGGGTTGTTAGGTAGATATGAATGTACTTATGTTACTGTTATGTAGGTGTTATTGGGATAAATAACCATAATTGGTTACTTATATATGTTATAATAATAAATTTTATGTGTGCTGTTAATTCAATAAAATAGTATAGAAAACAAGGTTCAAGAAACTGTCTATATTTTAATCTTTACACAAATATTTCATATCTCATTCATATTTCGATACATTTAGTTGTATAAACATTACTGGGGTAAGTGTTGATTGTATAATATTCTATATGATGATTACTAATTAAGATATTTCTTTTTAATATCAGATGGGTTTTGTGGATATTATAATAGTTTCAATGGTTAAGATCATCAGTCAGTTAAAGCTAGACCACCATGGAAAACCTGGAAGCACTGATTGGCCGTTTCGTCCTATTGTGGGACTCCTCAGAAGTGTGCATCCACGATCCCGCCTCGTGGGATTCGAACCCGGGACCTGTAAGTCTCGCGTGTGAGCGCTTAGCAACTAAACCGCTGAGCTCGCGCGCGAAACCAGTAGGTCTCGGGTTCGAATCTCGTAGAGGGCGAGGTCGTGGATACGCACTGCCGAGGAGTCCCACAATAGGACGAAACAGCCGTCCAGTGCTTCCAGGTTTTCCATGGTGGTTTAGCTTCAACTGACTCATGATCTTAACCATTGAAATATTTCTTTTTTTTGTTAAGAATAATTAAATGATCTCAGTTACATATCATAATGAAATGATGAATAGTGGTGTTAAAGACTATTCCCTATCATAGTACAAAGCATATATTCACTAATCCTTGAGTTTTAAGCAACCTTCAAATCATATACTTATTCTAGCATAGTTTTCTTACTTCATCATTGAAATTTTAATTATTGTATACTTATACACCAGTAAGTATATTTCGGATAATTGCATGTTGTTGATTATTGATTTGGCTCAGAGAACACTGTTTTGGGAAAGATGTATAAACTTAGAATATATAGTATTACCAAATTTCTACTGAAGTTGTTGTTATATGACAATTGATTAAATGAACATAGATGATGAATGATTAAATAATGATTAATTCATAGATATACTTACTAAGCGTTTAGTATTTACCAATAGGATGAAACATAAAAGATACTTGAATTAAGCTTGTATTTTGTGATATGACAGTGTTATGTTCCACAAGTTGAATGATAAAAAAAATCAGAAAACCATTCACATTCCTCTAGTCAGACATCTGTTTTGAACTAGACTTCAAAGGATGATATATGGTAGAAAGAAAATCCATAATGTTGCATTATTATTTGGAAGTTGATATTGACTATTTCATTTGTTATCTAACACGATAAGGAATGCTATTTCAATGTGGAAATATGATATCATGACGAGTATTCAAATACTTTCCATTAACCGTTAAATTAGCTTTTGAAATTGATAGTGAAGATTATATGGATAAATCTTCTAGTAATTTTATGGTGATTATGGAACCACACTTGTTTCTTCCACTTACATCACATAGTTCTATGTAATATATTGGTAGGACAAGTTCATATTATCCGTTGATTTCCACTTAAACTGAAATAGGGTAATTTTTATATTTATAAAGTAAAAATTACTACGAACATCCCACCTCTCTGTCTCTCTCACTCTGATGTTCCAAGATTTCCATGGATCGATATCATTTCTTTAAAGAGACTCCATTAATTAGCAAGAAACAATCGTTTAATATATTTCTAAATGTTTATATTGGCTTATTTTTCTTCTTTATTTACAGAATCTTTTTTGTGAAGAAACTTTCGATATTCTGAATACAAGTTTAATCTAGACTTACAAAATGTCAGATGATGAACAGAGGTAAGTGATAAGTAAAGTGAAACCAATCTAACAAATTACATATTCAAATGACATTTTTGTTTTCGTCGTTATCATAAACGGATCTAACTTTTCGGATGGTATAAAGTTTCTTCATCTAGATTGTTTCATAACTAAGGTTTTAATTTTATATTGGATACAAACTTAAAATATGGCTTCATGTGGAAGTAAACCTAGTCAATACCATTTATCGTAACTCAAGTTTATACCCAGGACAGGAGAGCCCTGGTGAGCGGCCTATGCTCCTCTACGAGGGGTAACAGGTTTAAGTGAGTAAGTAAGTTTATGCCTTGAAGAAGTATAAGCCTAGTTGTTAGAGATGTAGTTAGGTGAAATTATGTTGAGTCTCTTATTTTTAATGATTGAACATGTGACTGACTTAAAACTCAATTATGAACGACATTGTAACGATGAAAATCGTTTATATACAAAACTTTTATCATGTAAAGGTAGATGATTAACTACCAAGCCATTCGTTTCATAAATTTAAAACTAGACTTATCTTTATGACACTATATAAATCAATTTCATGTAGAATGAAAGTAAATTACTGATAATTACTTTCAATGATTGTTAGGGTTTTGTAAAAGCTGACTAAACATGGTATTATAATATTTTCTAAAGCTAACACAAAACTAAATCCAGAGTTTTTTTCAATGGGGCATATTAAACTATCTAAATTTAGTTCATAATAGAAAAGTTTTGTAAATTGCTAAATCATTAGAACTGATATTTTATATTCACTAATGATGCCCACTTTAGCGTATAGTCATAAATGATAGACATAATCAAATTTGAAGAGAAGATTAAAGAATACTAATAGCATTACATGTGTTATGTCTTGCTGATTGGACGCTATATTCGTTCCTAAGCTTTTCTGATAACCCGCACGCTAGAACTATACAGCAACCTGCACACCAGAAAGAAGACACAAAGTATGAGAGAAACACTTTACTCCAAGGTTCGTTTTTGTACAGAAAGTCGACTCAACAACATGCCATAAAACAGGAATATAGTCGGTAGTTCGTTTACTATTTAGAGATATTTATTAATTGAAGGAAATCAAATTTATTTAGGGAAGAACTCATTTTGAGAAGATGGTTGAGTATTAGCAAATATTAAATCTAAATGTAAGACTTATGATCGGTTGAATTTACTCACCAAACACTAAATCCAGTATATTACATTGTAGATTGATTTAACATAGAAGGAATGATTCCAATGTGATAGTCAGAATATGATAAGCATTAACATTTAAATAAAAAATAAGTTAGTACTTGTCTTCATTTTTAACACATAAATAACTTATTAGCAATCTATTAAAATGATGTAACTGACATGTTATGGGGTTAATGATAACCGAAATACAACAGTGGGAGTACAACAAGTGTCTGACCTTCAAAGATTTGTTGTAAGCACTTTTAAGGCTACAAATGCTTAGAGCATAGATATATTTCAATAACTATTAACTGTAAGACATGAACTTTCTAGAAGCTCTATTGAACTATTGAAAATCAACTTTTTTTAAAAACTTTATTCAGTAAGCATTTATGTTGATCATTGATTTTGTAAACCTTAAGATTATTAACATTGACTATTATAATGTATATGAAGTTAATGATTTCTGATGAAGGATACTATAGGGGACAAAAAATTAATTAACTGATACCTTTTATTTCGCATCTTAGTTTTTATCCCAAATAATTATTTAGCATTATCCAACGAGAAACTATCTGATCCCTATTACTGATAAGTTTCTATTAAATGAAGAGTTTTGAAGTATTATCGGTAACTACGGTATTGGGTGAAATAGGTTTGAATCTGTAAGGAAGTATCGGGTCTTTTACAATTACTCCGTACTACTTAGTATTTTTATTTGTTAGAAGGTTGAATATATATATGGAAGAAATCAATTGATTTGCCCTTTTTGGTAACGTTTACCATATATTTATTTTAATGTAATTATTTATACATAAACAAAAATTTTGTTGATCTCCTGTCACACGTATTACTAGTTAACAACTGTTCATCATCTATCTACTTTTATTATTACTACCATTAGCCCACAACCATCTCCAGCATTCATTCCCAAGTACGTTAAATACTTGATTTTCATCATCTACTACCTATCCCACCCTTTTTTTTCTTTATTTCACTTCCCATTAAATGAACAAATATGTGTAAATGTATGTATGTTTATACATGGTGAAAAAAGTTTTGGTTGATGAATGTATACCTACCAACAACAACAAAAAAAAAGATTCTGTTTAATTATTGTATTAAGTATTCGTGTTAGGTTGTGTTGGTTTTTTGCCCTGCAACCCAAAAACAATCTCTTTCTTCCCATTTAAAAAAGTTCTCCACCTTAAAGCATGCCTATCTAACATGAAAATACCTTGACTTTGTTGAGTAATTTTCTGTTCATTATTGAAAAAGTTTATAAGAAATATCTATTGGTAATGATTAACAAATTGCATCTATCCATATTTTATCGTAGAAAGATTCTTTTCAGAGTTAGTTATTAACACATTCCTGATACATCATTTATATATGATAAATCATCCTTGACGTTGGAAGATTTACTATGTATGAGGTTGAGTTAAGTCAACAAAATCATGTCACATAAGATAAATGATAAAGTTTTGTAGAAGGTCGGTTATCTATTGAGAACACCACTTCATAATGATGTAATTTTTATGTTTTATCTAACTAAAATTTATACTTTTATTTTGTTTTTGATCATATTTTTAAGTGACTATCAGTATTTATCTATCTACTATGGATAAGTACTTAGAATAAGCCGTTATTACTTACTTACGCCTGTTACTCCTAATGGAGCATAGGCCGCCGACCAGCATTCTCCATCCCACTCTGTCCTGGGAAGTCATTATATGAAGAAATTATTATTTCCTAATATCTATTGAAGTGAACAGAAAACTTATTCTATAAATAGACTCAATCGGTGAACTTATGAAATGTAGATTCTACACATGTTATCAACATGTTTAAATATCATACTGATTAACTAATTTTGAGTTATATGCAAACAAATATTTCAATTTCACTAGTTCCATCATTAGTTATTAGTCGATATTAACTCGATTATATTAACGTATTTTATCTTGTATTACCGGGTAATATGAATAAGAATAATGCTTCGTGAATGTTCAATATTATACATGTAAATGGTATTCTATGAAAAGATACCGGATGTTTGTACGGAACGGTGACTATTCCTAATGGTGTAAGAATGATTAACTTATTTTACAGAGACAACATAACGCTAATTTATTTCCTGATTCATACTAAATGAAATATGTGATTTAGGTTTTCTTGGTACTGATAAATTGAAATCACTAACCAATGATACTTTTTATAAACCTGGTGAACATAAAAACGGTGAACATAACAGTCCATAATAACATACTGTAATTAATAAACCTACGAATTCTTAACTGGTTTTTTGACCAAGAATACACAAGTACTAAGCAGAAATGGTTTTTTCTTGAAACATTAAAGAAGAAGAATGTAGTTGTAAAATATCAGCGAATGAATTTTGAAGTAAACTCAACGTTTCGCCTGGCAATCTGGTCCAAGCTTTTTCAAGGAAATATAATCAAACATCACAATTATTGAGATTTTACAGATACATTCTTCCTCTTTAATGTATCACATTAACTCAGCTCCCAAATACTGTGAAACTATTCGATCCTATTTAGGCGAAAGTTCGTATTGATTCTTTCTTTATTAAATGATTCATTTACACCCATACACACACACACAATAATTCTGTTTCATCATCAGTAGCATATTAGTTATATAAGCCATTTAACATTCGATAATGACAATTAGAAGTCACAAAATCAAGATCATCTATTGAAATAGGATTTCAGTGTTGATAAGTTATTTAACAAGGAAATTAAACCTATTTGTTAGAAATTATACAAATGTATACTGTATAACAAATTCAATCTATATATTTTCTTACTAGTAGGGGTTCTCTTCTTTTATAGTCTTATCCAATGTTTACATTAGTTACTAAATAATTTAAATATATAATGGAATCTTAGTGAACAAGAAGATAAGTGGGACAGTCAAATGTAATGAAGCACAAACTTACAGAACATCTCACTAAAATCTGAGAACCATGGCGCAAAAGTTAATTTGTAAAATATTAATCAATTGTCTCAAACTTGGCTGTTCCTTTTGCAAATATCAGTCCATTGTCTCAGAATTCATTGTTTATGCATTTTCATACCAATCGTTTTTCGTTCCCGTTCTTTCCCTTTCGATCTTCCACTGAAATACATTCTATATCTGACCATCGTTATATACTACTTATGTGGATATAAGTAGCTCACACCATAGAATAAGTTAATATCATCTCAGTTTTACAGTAACCGTATACAATCTCTTTTATGAAGTAACAATTCAAATAGTGATTGATCGAAATCTATCAAAGAACTATTGAAAATGTTTAGAAGAATTAAAATTAAAGTTTATTGATTGAGGATACATTTAAGAATACTAATCATTATAAAAAAAATATTCAGTTAGTTACTAAACGAAATAAAATCGGTTTTGAAAAGAAAAAAATAGGTGAGACTATAATTTATGGACGACCTTTGAGCCACTATGGACTGACTTTGAGAGTGTCCACCTAATAACTAGGACTAAATAAGGGTTATAAACCTGTGTATGGAATTATAATTATAATTTGCAGTTGATGATTACGGTTAAGAATAAGATTTAGGGTTTTCATCACGAACTGACATCAGCTATAATGACAAAACTCTATTTATCCGAATGGATGAGTGAGTTTCGCGCCAAAATCCGAGACCTATTATTTTATACATGACTGGTTCGTCCATAAATTATAGTCACACCCTTGAAGGAACAACGTTTTTAAGAAAATGATTTTCTTTACAGAATAATATAATTGTCTTAAAACTCTGTTTAAAATTATTCATCAGAAAGTTCCTTTGAACTTAGTTTCGTAACATGAATTTCTTATAAATGAAATTATAATATATCAAATCATTTCAATGAATTATGAGACAGCAATAATAAGAAAATCTAGAGTTATTTGTTGAAAGTAGTCTGATGTCTCTATGGAAATTCTGAGAATGTTTTGATAATCACTCATTCTTGAAGGTAATTAACTTTCAAATGGTTTTCAACATAGAAGTTAAAGACTAGTCGCTCACTGAATAATATATTATATTATAATCAAACAGGGGTTTTGTGGAGATTGTAGTAATTTAATAATTGAATTCCTGAGTCAATTTAAGCTAGAACAACATGGAAAACGTGAATGTACTGGACAGACATTTCATTCTAGTATGGGACTCCATAGCAGTGACTGTCTCCAAGAGTTGTTTCCTGAAGTTCTAGTGAGAAGCCGTGACCAGTGGAGTTCAACCAGGTCTGTTGTGAGATATTAACTCACTTAAGACAATAGTGGACGGTAGAGCTTTTTCGTGGCTTGATTGAAGTAAAACATTAGTACCGTTGGATGCTGACCGGCTCAGTGGTCTAAAGGTTAAGCGTTCACGCGCGAGACTGATAGGTCCTGTGTTCGAATCTCGTGGGGTGGGATCGTGAATACATACTGCTGAGGAGTTCCACATTTGGACAAAACGGTCATTCAGTGCTTCCAGGTTTTCCATAGTGGTCTAGTTTCAATTGATTCATAAATTCAATTATTAAATTATAATTTAAAGGAATTATAACGATTCCATAGAATTCTCACCTTTTCGGCACAAAAGATAATGATAAACAATATGATGATCTCAGTTAGTCTACTACAACTTGTTGCTACTTGTGTAATGTTAAAATTTCATTGTATATTTATTAATTATATTGTTATGATTTGATTTCATAAAATGTTTGGTCTTGTTGTCTTTATTTATTTCCCTTCATCATCAAATGTAGCTGATTTATTGTATTAACCATTGTACCCTATAAAGTTCATATTTACTACAACTAATTTCTTTGACAAACGCATAAATGTATATATATATATATATGTATATAATAATTATTATTATTGTTATTTACGTTTGTATGTTTGTTTAAATGCATCATTCCATTTTAATTCCTCCTATTCCTCTCTCAAATGAATTCATTATATTATCGGTATGTAGAGATGAAGAGCAGTAAGTTCATGATTATTCTTACCGTACAAAAGCATTTCGAATGTTGAATTTTTGCAAAGAACACTTGAATTAAGAGAGATAATTATATCTTTATATATCTCTCTCTATGCCTACATATATGTATAATCCCTGAAACCACACGTATATATATATATGTGTGTGTCGGTTAAGAATATCTCTAATGCACGTTAATAATAATGCTTATCAATTGATGAAATCATTTTACATCGCTGATATTAATTTTTCAACTTTTATTAGTTATATGTATTTGAGCAATTCAAACAAATGAATACACTATTCAATGAAAAATATTGTGATTACGTATTTAACATGAACAATGTGCATGTTTTTGTTTCTTTAATAAATGCATGTTCCCATTTTAATGAAAGATCATTGCATGATTTATTTACTATCTTCACTAAAAATTCATTAAGTAATAGTTATGAGTTACGCAATTGCTAGTATGAAATGTTTCTATTTCTATTTTATTCACTTTTAAAGAATCATATGGTACAATAATATCATAAAATGAATATTAACTCACAATGGATTGATCACTGGGTGGTGATCAATGTCATATGTGTCAAGTCCTTCTTAGTGCAGATTGAATTACCATCGACCAAGTTGTAATGTGGTCACCAGTCTCGGTGACTCGACATTTCGTGCACTATGTTGAGATGAGATGGTGGTTGGAGGTAGTCAACAGGAAACCCTGAACTCAGGTTTCGTGCTACTTGGCATTCGTCAGCAAGGTGTACCTGTAATCTTAAGGGAACTGGTGCTCTCTGACGGATCCGATCCTGTGTTACCCAGCCTCACAGTCAGAGACCTTACCACTAGGCTATCTGGGCAGTGATTGACCTCCTGTAGGACTGAGACATAATCACAATTGATTGATCACTGGATGATGATTAATGTCATATGTGTCAAGTCCTTCTTTGTAGCACGAAACTTGGGTCCAGGGTTTCCTGTTGACTACCTCCAACCACCATCTAATCTCATAAATATAAATGTTAATGATTTTTAAAAGATATCGAATAAATATGAAAATCCCTCTACTAACCAGTAAATAATAAAGTTATTATGTATTATCTACTTGACATTTGATAAAAAATGAAAAACATACTTCTGATATCTTAACTAATTTAAATCTAAGCATAGAAAATAATTATGAGTTAAACTATATTTCATTTTATATGTATTCAACTGTCATTTCTTTCAATGAGTAGTCTTACTCGGTAAACGTTTCCAAGAAACATTATTCCCTAAGATCATTGACTATTAATTTGATTCGTAAATGAAGGTTCTAGCTCTTTTTCGAATATTGTCAAGATGATAGTTCAGATTACTTACAATCTTCTCTTCCTTTTAGTATTTTCTCTTTTATCATAACTAATATGATAGTTGATCATTTAAGTCAATATTGATTTATACCATTTCCTAGATTGTTTATATCTTCAGTATTTATTGATTTATTTTATTTTGTGTATTACTTAAACGATGATCATGAAAGTGTGCTTCAATACACAAGACAAATGGATCTAGAATATCATGAAAATACTTTACAACAATATTCTATTTGCTTTAATCTTTCTTTTTTCTATTGTCCATTATTTAATTCTATGAAACAATGTGTGCTTTTTATTTGTTTATCAATTGCTATACGCATTTTTGCTTTTTCTAAGAAGAAGAAGAAGAAGAATACTAATATTCATTCTAATGAATAAAAGGCAAACAAACAAGCATAAGGTCTCTTCTTTCCATAAATTAATTGAATAGCATGATGCATGAGATTATTATTATTATTATTATTACTAATTCGTAAGATTTAATCTATTCATTATTTAAGTATATGATTATGCAATGAATGAAACTAATAAACTGGTATTTACTTGTTAATGGGGATCATAGATGTTTTAGAAATATAGCTCACATTTACTGGGATCATCGAGTAAGTAATAGTGTGGTTAGACGGAGCGTAATAGGGAATGATGGTAAACCACTTGATGAGGTTGTAAGTCAACATCGACTGAGATGATTGGTTCACGTGTTACGTATGCCTGAACATTGATTACCAAGACGAACAATGTTGAATAGTGTTGAAGACGGCTGGAAGTAAGTTAGGGGTGGCCAAAATAACACTTGATATCAGTCCTTGAAGTCAATAACTTCTAGTCTGAGCCATGTTGGTAGATGCAGACTACTTGGTTGGGATCTGTGCGGCCATCGTAACCAATAGTTGGAGACTCTTGGTGACATGGCTCAGAATCGATCACAATGGCGTAGCTGTATACACTTTATCTTCCCTTAAACCGTGAGATTGAAAATGCTTTTTACCTTTCTGCGAACTAATTCTTTCTTCTTGTATTATATCCTTATACACAATCTTTCTTTTATATATTACTATCATTAAAGTAACTACTTCTATGAATTCGGTATTCATTTTATTGTGCTGATGAGGTGTTGTAACTTGGACCGATGTACATACGTGCCTGGCGGTACATTGTAGCTGAGTGACTGACTAGGGATTTTTTGAGATTTTAATTATTTAGTGTAAAATACTTCATCATGACTTTATATGGTAACCAACCAATTCAGATTGAAAGTAGCTGTTCTTAGTTGAATATACTTATAAACTTATCATTAACTTTTCTTATCTTGTATATCGCTATCAACAGGTTGGTCATAAAAAGCAACAAACATATTTCCTATGCTAATGTTTTAATTATATCTGATGAATTTTAACATCCTATGCATGTATTGTATTGTAAAAGTGGTACAAATGTAATTTCAATCGTTTATATTACTTAATCATCTACACTATTTCTATCTATTACTATATAAAATTAAACAAGTTACTGATTATTAACAAGATTCATATTCAAATTAAGGGATATAATTGTGAGATTTAACAAATACACTATGTAATTTGAATAGATTGTACCTTCACTTGGTGTTGTTTTACTTGTATCTTCCCATTGTTATTTAGTCTCATGTTGGCACATGTGCATCCTGTGCGGATTGCCTCAATAAAACCTTAAGTCACAAGCTTTTTCAGCAAAGATGGATAGTAGCTAGCAGTGGAAACTAGAACGCACGTTTTGTCCTATTTGGGACTCGTCAGCTGGATGTACCTGTACTGATTAACAAGCATTACATAGAACTGATTTCTTTTATAATACATTGATAATATTCTTATATATATATATATATATATATATATATATATATATATATATATATATAGAGAGAGAGAGAGAGAGAGAGAGAGAGAGCGATCCCCAGAATTTGATAATCTATCGCTTTCTAATATTTCTTTTTATTATTTTAGTGAGGATGGAAAATCTGAAGCAAAAATTCGTATGGAAGTAAGTCATAAAATCTTTGCCAAAAAAATAATAAATTAATACATGCCAATTACTCAACTATTTGTTCATTTTTATCTAGATGGAAGCCAAGCGTAGAAAAGAGAGAGCTGAAGAGGAATGGAGAGAATATGAAGAGTTTCGTAGAGGTGAACGTGAAAAAGAAGAAGAAGAGATACGTCAATTAAGAGAACGTCGAGTATGTTTTTTTTAAATTTATGATCAACTAGTATCTTTAATATAAGAGTTTTTATAGATTGATGAATTTATAGTTTACATTTGCAATGAATCTTAATTAGATAAGTATTAAAAACCAGAAGCAACTGAACAATCGTTTCATCCTAATATGATACACGTAAGTAGTACAATTAACAATCACATTGGGGGTCAAAGCCAAGACACTTAAATCTTGTTAACCCTAAATTTTAAACCATAAAAATGGTATCTAATGTTTGACATGTTCAACTATTATTTGCTGTTTCATTTATGTTGTAAGATATATAAGAAATGATTGATACATTTAGAACAAAGTTAGAATCATACATCTACTTTTTAAATTATCTTAAGCTTGGTCTGACTTTATGAGTTAGATAACTATAGATCAGGTCTACCAATAAATACTATAAATTAGAATGATTCAAGAAAAATTAAATCAGACATACGCATTTCATATCTGATTGTAGTGTTAAATTATAGTGTTTAAAGGTCACCTTTGGGATACAGGACTTACTAGTGAAGTCCATTAGACTGGATTGAAAATAACATTCTGAAGACATTCATATTATATTTCGTTTTAATGTACCATCCATCATCATGTAACATTATAGACAGATCTGATCATTAAATTACTTGCACAGATCCTATTCTGTTATAGTTTATCTTGCTCTATTTATAGTATCAAATATAAAGACAATGATTGATTTTCTAAATAGATTAAAGTATACCAATATAAAAATGATTAAATTCATATCTTATGTTTTTTGGATTATTACTGAAATAATTATAAAATTTCATATAAATTATTTAAGGAACGACGTAAAATGGAACGTGAAGAAGAAGAAAAACGATTAGCTGAATTACGTCAGATAGAAGATCAAAAAAGACGAGCAGAAGAAGTAAGTTTATCCTTCTGCTTTTTATTGTCAGCTGTTTATAATATTGAATTGCCATCCAGTCATTTAGTATATGTGTTGTTTAAGCTTGTTTATTTACTCTGATATGTCAATTATGAAATAGTTTTCGTAAGTTAGAGTTTAATAAATAAAGAGTTGTATATCACATATTGTACAATAAACATTTTACTTTCGAAGTTACAGGATGATGCTTAGTTAATCAGTTCACGGATGGTAGAGGAAAGTATGTAAGTCCAAATACATATTAATCACGACCCCGCTCGCGGGACTCGAACACAGGGCCTTCGGCTTCGTGTGCGAAAGCTTGACCTATTAGACCACTGGGCCGGTATCCAACGGTGTTAATGTTTAACTTCAATCAATTCACGAAATTGAGCGACCATCTTCCATTGTACTGGGGTAGATATCTGTCTTTACCTGACACGGATTAGTTCCACTGGTCACGGCTTCTCACTAGAAGTTCGAGAATTTCGCTCAGGAAGCTAGTCACTAGTGATTACATGGTCTAGAGGTCAAGCGTTCGCGCACCGGAACGAAGGCCCTGGGTTCGAATCTCGCCGTGGAGGATCATGGATGCGCACTTCTGAGAAGTCCCATACTAAGACTAAACGGCTCTTTAGTGCCTCGAAATATCTAGCTAAAAATTCAAGTATGTTTTAGTTAAAGACAATAATAAGAACACTCAGAGAGAAAAACATTTTAGTTTCATACAAGAGTGTTTTAATTAAACATGTAAAGATTATGTTTTACATTTTAAAAAATGTAAAAGGTAATAGTGAATGATAGTGTGAACATGACTTATTTTGTTTTTGAAAACAAAAAACAATAGATTATCAGATATATTGGAGGATGGTGATTAGAAACCAAACAAGGACATAAGCATAGGTATTTATATACATACAGACATGTATACAAGTACCCTTTCATAGAACATTACACCTACATGAACCTAACATGCACAATTTTTGTGACTATATATGTATATATATATGAAAAGAAGATGAGGCAGATAAGAATAAAAACAAATTTCTTTAAAGTAGGCTGAACAGTTGATGATTGTAAAACGGGAAAAAAGCTAATCAATTTTTGCTTTTTATGGAATGATAATAATAGAACAATCATTAGTAAAGAAGAAATCTAGTGGTTTATTGTTTTATTTTTCAACCCAGTTTCAAGGATGAAAGGGATTTTCAATGTAATATGATATGGAGAAATTGATTATTTTGATTTTGTTATTCCTTGCTTTGTTTAATTGAGTATTACATTTTGATGGAGTTTTGTTCTATGAGTTGGATAGTTTGATATTACATGTTTGGTTTTCTGTTTTAATAGGAAGAACGACAAAGAAAGAAACGTGAAGAAGAACAACGTAAACGTGAAGAACGTGAACGTAAAAAGAAAGAATGGGAAGAGCGTAAAAATGCTAATCGACCTAATTTCGTTATTACAAAGAAGGAACCAGGTGTAAGTCGTACGGTTATTTATAAGAATTTTAGTACAGTGATAGGTGAATGGTAAGATTAGTCAGTCATTTAATGGTCTCAGTTCTTCAATATCTACATAAATTTAGACCATCTCATGTTATTATTATCTCTTCTACAAATAGTGTTGCCTAAGGTTGAGTATGTTAACCTGTACTTGGTAAATATGACGTCTTATGTTATCTATATTAGAACCTGCAACGGAGTGCGATGATTTCGATTGATTCACCTTAGAGAACTACATAAAGCAGAAGAAAAGTACTAACTAAATTTCGGCTAATGTCATTTATTTCCGGTCACATTATTAAATGTATGGAACTGTGGTAAATTTTACGTATATTGACAAACATAAGTGGTATGTAACACCAATCGGAAGTGGAAAACTTGGCAGCAGAAGGCTAAGAAGATCGAGTTGAACAGAACAGAAACGAAAATAAAAAGGAATTATGAACTCAAAGAATCATACAGAATGTGAGGGGGAATGGTGGAAATTTCCAAATGAAGAATTGATTGTCTGATTCTTATATTTTTCCAAGATACCATAAATTTCTAGGTAGTTAATCAGTCAAAAGTCCGGCATCATTTGTCGTTATAGCGAACGTAAGTAAATCGAACAGTTTGTCATCTATTGAAGGACATTATTTGAAAGAATAAATAAGGAATTTCTCTGAATTCAAAGCTATTACGTTTTATCTGTTCATAATGAATCTTGGTATTGTTATACCAAGGTTTAGTGATGGCTTACTCACCTCTTAAGTTATATAGATTGTTGGTGAGGACTAATTATCTGTTATTTTTTGTCATCAAATTATTTATCCTCTTTTCACATTAGCAGTTTGGATGTTTCTTATCATAAGTACTTTGATACGTTGACTGGATCATCCAAAACCGATATTCTTTGAATTATATCTCCAAAATACAGTGCTACCATGAATTTATGCTTCTGTGTTAAGCTTGTTAGCTTGACTAGTATGTTAGATGACTAACTTCGAATTCGGCTTTATATTTTGATAATTTTGTTGTGTTTTATGGAACTAAACTAACTGTCTGAAGGCCTCACCGTCTGAAATATTAATGATACTAAGAAATAAAAGGCAGTTTTCGAATTGTAAGTAATACTTCTATGTTATAATGTGCGATTTGTTCGACACAGAAAATTGTATAAACCGAGAATTGAAAACTAAACTATAATTCAGTCTGTTCTAAATGTGTTCCATTAGGACTACCACTAAATCAGTACACTAAATCGAAATAAATGGACAATTTCAAAATCTCCTCAACCATTTATTTTGTTTCTCCAGATTTTAGCTGAGCCATTAAAAACATGTCTCAACTACATTTTATAGGGTCCACTAAAATGTCGATATTAAGCGGTTTTCCAGCAAATTCAAATAGTTTTTTATATCTCCTACTGTACTTCAGAACCTTGTTTAAGTGATTATTTAAGGAACAGATAAATGGTAACCAAGGTCACTGGAATTTAGTTTATTAGTTGAAGTAGTGAATTTAATTATCCGGTAATGATTTATAACCCTAGGACACCTGTAATGAACGAAGACTTGGTGGGTATAACCAATTGATCGTTTCATGCCAAATTACGGAGTTCTTTTTTAAAATGTGGAAACAATACATTAACTAATTTATTCGCAAATCTTTCATCAACTGTCCTTTACATCCTTCATAATTCTTCCACTTCTCAATTCTTTTCTATTCCACTTCCTGTTTTCTTCAGTTTAATCTTCTCAACCTTTTTTGACAGGCGTTTCACTTCGGATTGGTGTTATATACTACTTATATCTCTCAACATAAGTAGCATGCATCACACACCTAGTTAGCTAAAGACAGATTTCTGGTACTGTTACACATAACATTATACGTTTATAGCAGGACTTTCTTCCATAGATTTCAAAACGTTCCACAGTTTCATCCATAAATATTCTCCTTAAGTCTGAGTAGTTATTCATTATCTGTCCTAGTTGCATTGAAAATCTTTAATTATTAAATTAAACAAAAAAACACCAAGAAAAAAGTTGGTCAAAATAGACATTTCTGCCACAATTTTTTTTCTGGTTAGCGTTTTTTAGCGAGTTAGTTTTCTACGAGATGGGGTCGCTAACCCTATGCCCAACCCTCTTCCTTTATTCAGGCTCGGGACCGGCAGTAGCCCCCCGGAGAGACTCCAGGCGGAGTTATTTCTACCATACTACTCTTAATTATATTCTTTTCAATACATAAATTGATCTACATGAAATCTTCAATAGAAATTTAATCAATTTTTATTAACATAATTGTAGGCACAAGAAACGGAAGAAGAGAAAAAGGAAGAAGTTACAAAGTCAAAAGAACAGTTGGAAGCTGAAAAACGTGCCATTTTAGAACAGCGTATACAGCCATTGAATATTAGTGGTTTTAATGCTGATCAATTAAAGAATAAAGCTAAAGAATTACACGATCTTATCTGTCGATTAGAGGGTGATATTTATGATTTATCACAACGTTTCACAAGACAAAGTTATGATGTAATTCGTTGTGTTTTTTTCTTTGGTAGTACTGAACAACTTATTAATAATTTGTTTGCGATTTGATAAATGTAGGTCATATTCTACATTGTTCATTATTATTCCTCCAGTTGTATGGTATGCCATTTTCACTTCATATAGATCATCTATAATAAGCATAACAGGACTAGTTTAATGATTGAGATCTTGAACTGACTGATGTTAGACCATCACTGAGAACCTGGGAGCACTGGACGGCTGTTTCGTCCCATTGTGTGACTCATCAGCAGCGAGCATCCACGATCCCACCCACGAGACTCGAACCCAGGACCCTCAGTTTCGCGCTCGAACGCCTAACCTACTAGACCACTGAGCCTGTCGGCATCCAATGATGTTAATGTCTAATCTCAACTAATCTTCCATCGTGCTGAGGTAGATACCTGTCTCTACCCAACACGGATTAGCTTCACTGGTCACGGCTTCTCACTAGAACTCCGAGAATTCCCTCACAAAACTAGTCACTAATGAGCACATGTTAATTATCAGTATAGGGTTGTGGAGATTATTAAGTTATTGATTGAGATCTTGAACCGATTGATGTTAGACCACCATTGAAAACCTGGAAGCACGTGGCTAGTTTAAATTTGTGACCCATACTGAAGGTTAATTTTTCACTCATACACAGCTAATGATTGCAAATATACTTGGAATACTTCTAAAATTTACTGATTATTACAGTTATTATTTTAACACCTTAAAATGTTCAGCTTTTCAGTTAGTTAATGAAGGGATGATGAAGAAGTCAGATAGAGACCTACAGTTGAAATTTATTCGGAATTAATGAATGATTCTTAAGCAAATTTTGGTTATTGTTTTCAATATAGTCACATAAAAAATATACAGTTCCTGTGAGAGGAACATTTGTTAAAAGTGAAGTAACATCCAATGACATCATTTTCCTGTCATTTACATTAACATTTCCATTTGAGTCGACAAAACCAAAGTAATCAAGAGAGTTGTATCTGCTGACATGATTTTTAACGTGTTGTAAAGTATCAGCTAACCATTTGGCCATCAGGTGATATGGAAAGTTGTTCATATCAAATTTAGGAACTAAACGGACATTATTCTTATAAACTTTTGGAAGTCTATATAGTCTTGGTATAACGGAACCCGACAGTTTAAGATGTTCATAGAGGTCACAATTGATAATAAACTAATCTTTTATCTTGTTTTGGACTTTAACTGAAATCTGTTCCGTTTTTTCGGTTGCGTCTTTTTGAACGATTTCTTTAGAAAATTTGACATGATCAGACAATATCGATGATTGTTTAGTGACATAGTCAAGACGATCCATAAGGACAGTTCCTGCACCCTTGTCTGGGTGACACAACACTAAGTCCTGATTTCTCTGAAGATCAGATAATTGAGATTTATGCTCTGTTGATCCCTTTGACTTTGTCGACTCAATTAGAAATTTGAATGTAAATAGCAGGGGAATGATCTCATTGGATGTTATATATGGTTATCTTTAAAAAAAGTATAAATGTTCTCTGTCAAAGTTGTTATACTAAGTTCATGTTAGTTTTGCTAAATTGAACACTACACTAAGCGAAACATTTGTGAGTACAATTGGCAAATGAAGTAAACGAGATTTATTCAGTAAAAATCAATTTTTTTTAAATTTTTCTCTATTTTCTTAGATGCAAGAATTAGCAGAACGTGCACGTCAAATAAACAAAGGGTAAATCATGTTTCCTTTAAGTATACTTGATAATTTTCACAATTTCATTTCTTTTAATATTGAATTGCTTAGAATTTAAGTGATCCATCTGATTTCATTATTAATAGTGAGTTCATTCTTAAGTAAAGTGAACTAGTAGGACATAATTTATAACTATAAACCAGTCACTTTATATTATATGAGACAAATTCACATTTATCATGTCTTACTGCTTACCAGTCTCTTGTTTCGATAATCGAATTATTCCAGTTATCTCAGATTTGTTAAGTTATTCCTATTCATTCACTTAAAGTTTCCCAATCATTTTAATCTTCAGTGGATTTTATAGGGATATATATATATATATATATATATATATATATATATATATATATATATATTCAATTTTATATAAATGCATATATACTCACCAAATGTTCTTCTGAATTATTTGTCTTGGTAGATTGTACTACTTTATATTTTGTTAAGTCACAATTTATCATATCAACTACTTTGATCCATGTAATTTACTTTACAGCTTTAAAGTGATACGTTTATCTGGATTATAGACATGAAATTCTGTCCTAAATGTTAGTCACAGATAGTTTTATTAATGTTAATCCTTAAACAAATAAAATTAATGATTTAAAAAAGAATAAAATTACATCTAAAATAGATTTTAATCAGAGAGGGGATATTATGGGAATTTTATAGTTGAATTCATAAGTCTATTGAAGCTAGACAACCATGGAAGACCTGGAAGTACTGGATGGCTGTTATATCCTTGTATGGGACTCTTCAGTAGTGCGCAGTGGATTGATTGAAGTTATACATTGACACCGTTGGATGCCTACCGGCTCAGTGGTCTAGAGGTTAAGCGCTCGCGGGCAAGACTGGTAGGTCCTAGGTTCGAATCTCGTGAGGTGGGATCGTGAATGCACATTGCTGAGGAGTCCCATACTTGGACAAAACGGCTGTCTAGTGCTCCCAGGTTTACCATGGTAGTCTGGCTTCACTTGACTCACGAATTCAATTATTAAATTAGAATTGATTTAGACTAGACTTTTCTCAGTTATTAGTATTTTATGTCAGAATTACATTTTTGTAATATTTACGACTATTGTGATATGTGTTTTGAAAATTTTATAGAGGGAAAGCAAAAGCTATCACCAATGCACCGGATCCATTAGCGGCAAAATTCAGCGGTATTCCTGTAAGTTTTTAATATAATCCATTTTCATTGCCATAATAATCTTCAATCTATATTATCATTTAAATACTATTTCATTTTCTTCTATTTTAAACATCATCTTTAGCCTATGGTTGTTATGTACAGTCAATATGAACGAGTAAAAGATCCAAGATCATTCAAAGATCGACGCACTGTCTTTACAGGTGCTAATTATGCAGAAGAATATCAACGTATTGCACCTTCACATGTGTTGGTTATGACAGAAGAAGGCTTCCAAATAGCCGGAGCCGCTGAAGGTGGAGGACATTCGGCTGCTCCTGCCCCTGCTACTGAAGTTCCTGTTGAATAAATAATTCTATGAACATTAATTATAGTAATGCTGCTATCATTGTTATTGTCACCAGTATAATTACCACCAATTATTTCTGATTCTTTTTCATTTCTCTGTCTCTTTCTATCTGTGTTTCTTCTTTTTCGTTTGTTTCAGTGTTACCATATTCACTCAAATGTTCTGAGTTTTTATTTTTATTATGTTACTGAAAAAAGAAATTTACTTATTATCCCTAATGCTTTTAACCAAAACTAACTATGCTACCGCTTTCCTGCCTTACTGATATAATTGATAGCGAGTATGTAATCATTCACTCCTTCTTCTTATGTTTCTTCTTCTTCGCCTTGTCTTCATGAATTCCGATAAATTATCATTAATTATTAAGTCACCTAAAGTACCATTGATTCATTAAAACACCAAATATCTAACCGTCACAACAGAAACTATAAATAAAACTACCCTTATCTTTATTAGACTGTGTAGTTTCTTATTACTATTACTATTATTATTATCATCACTATTACTATTATTATGACTCCCTCTTCTATGTTGAATAATTTACTTTAAGTAATAAATGGGAACATTCTATGCTACTAGAATTTTTGGAGTACAAATCTATTATTCAAATGTCTAAAACCTATTAATTAGACCGAACAGTTCGTTTGTTTTACATATTGAATCTCAGCAAAGTGATAAGTTTTAGGTTGTATTAAGTTGATAGAATGAAGTTCTGGTTAATTCATACCTGAAATAACAAATGAGTCTAATGCTTCATGGTTTGTAAGGGTTCTGTAGTAAATAGAAGTTATAGTGTGATAAAAAGATGTTTTTCTTTGGATCATTTCATCAGAAACTGGTTTAAAAACCATCAATCACTATTATCGTGTTTCCATAAGAAATATTCGAATTTTAATAGGACGAAATACTATGTCGTATACTTGAATGAATGGTGCATTACGAAGATATCTGGAGGTATAAAGAGGTACCCATCAATGTTTTTATTATTACAAATGATTTTTCATTTGTGAAATCAATTCGACACAATTTGTTGACAGATAACTCACAGGAAACGCTGGGACTAGATCTTTATATTACATGGAACTTCTCAGTGAGGGATATCCTTAATGAACTAATGGTCAATATGGGTTTCTACTACAAGTAACCTAGAGTTATTAACAAATTTGATACTATTAGAAATCAAATGAACTTCTTTACGGTTAAAATTACTTGGTACTAACAAATACTATGTCCATATCTTGGAGTTGATCAAGTTCTATCTAATTTCACTGTGACTGTAAATCTATGAGAATCGTAATTGTGATACACTTCTTTTGTGAAAAATAAGTAACCGATTTGTTATAATTAGTACAAAACTAAGTCACAGAGATTCTTTCCAATCACCTGGAACCATTTACCATTAAACAAATGCATATAGATATTAGGTCACTTAAAATGATAGATTCAATAAGGCTTTATAGAATGAATTAATTTGTGGGTGATATTCATTACTAGTAAGTTTTCTTTAGGGGACCATGAAAAACTAGTATGCGAAGGGTAGCTAATTCATCTTAATATAGAACTCTTCACTAGTAAACACTAGTGACTAGACAACATGATGTAAGGTTCAACTAAATGATCAATCAGGTTATCAGTTAATGGCCATTTCTAATAGAATATTGGGATAAATACTGTCTAAAGCGTTTAATTAACTTGAAAATAACTTGGATTTTGATCTCTTTTGGTTAGACTAAATAAGTTTTATTTAAATTAAAGGTTATTAAATTATTTCTTATGAAATTGAATATTTCATGAATGATTGTTGATTCTCTAAATAATTAATGTAAAAACTAAATTTGAATTGTGGCGTATGCTATTTATTGTCTACATAAGTAGTATATAACACCGATCAGAAGTGGAATGCCTGATAGAAGAAGGTTGGGAAGATTGAAGAGAAGAGAACAAGACACAAAGACCAATTGTTATGATGATGAAGGAACAATTAAGTTTGAGACAATTTGTGGAAGATTTGCAAACGAAATATTGAATGTATCGTTTTTATATTTTACCAAAGAACTCTATAATTTTGTATTTAAAAAAATTGATTGATCCTCACTTATTTCGTCGTTTATTACAGAATCACTTTGGTTATCGTATATTTTTAATTCTGTTTTGATGATGTTAAATGAAATTGTGGGAAACATTATTGCCTACCTCAAATGCCCTGGTATGACCGAGAGTGGGGTGGGTCCGCCCTCCCTCTCGAAACGCTCTCACATGGCCACGGGTATATAGCCTCTGCCAGGGAAGTCTTACTCACTGCCTTCTCGTGGTGGGGGTGTTGTTTACGAAAATGAGAGGATGAAAAGCGAATGTCCGGCGCCTTAACCGGATTCCAAACCAATGTTGCACATGGGCTCCAGTATCCTGCGGGAATAAATGGCGTATGAACCAATCGTTGGCCACTGGCTACCATGGGACCGCATCTCCTCACGATGCTCCATGGCCTTGTGGGTCAGACCTTCAGGTCAAAGGCTCCGGATGTGGCCCCCTAAGATAACCACCTGCTTCGGTCTGGGCACCCGAGCGGTATCACAGCCCACACACAAAAGTGTGGCGCACATATATTTGGTGCCCTCTTGTACCAATATTTATGTGTTCAAATAAATAAAAATAAATAATAATAAACTATACATACCTTGAAATAATTTATTTCTTGTGTTAGCAACAAATGTCCACCTATGAAAAAAACAAAACAAACCAAATATTGTATTAAACCAACGCACGCACGCACACGCACAAACATTCATTATAAAACGTAAAATGTGACCAGGACAACTGATACATAGGTAGATAAAAAAACCCATGAATTATATGAAGACTGAACATGAATAGTGATCTTAATTCTATTGATGATGAATATTTTTCAGAGCAATAACTTAGTTCGAAATGGTAAGAAAGAAGTTTCTTTTGAAAATAAAATTATACAGACACATATGTTGCTGTTTTAATGGAATAACTTTTACAGAATATTTTTTTTGATTGAGATCATGAACCGATTGGTGTTAGACCACCATTGAAAACCTGGAGGCACTGAACGGCCGTTTTGTCCTATTGTGGGACTCCTCAGCAGTGCGCATCCACGATCCCGCTCGCGGGATCCGAACCCAGGGCCTTCAGTCTCGTGCGCGAACGCTTAACCTACTAGACCCCTGAGTCGATTGGTATAAAATGGTGCTAATATCTAACCTCAACCAATCCACGAAGTTGCGCAACCATTAAATAGTATACCGAAAATATATATGGAGTAAACAAGAGAGTGAAGAGGAGTATTCGAACCGACAAGTAGAAATACGTGAAAGACGTAACAATGATGGTGAAAAAAATTGAAAGAGAAGGAAATGTGAGACAATAATATGATACAACAAAGGAACTAGCAGGAAAATATAGTAAACCAGAGCGATCAGCCAAGAACAAAGAAGTCAAGCGAATCACTGAGATTCAAGAACAGCGGAACAGGTGGGTAGAACACTTTGAAAAACTTTTGAATAGACCAGCCTAACTGAAGATACCAGATATCGAAGCAGCATCTTAAGACCTTCCTATAGATGTCAGTCCAACAACGATCGAAGAAATTTCCATGACCGCCAGATAAGATGCTCCACGTTCTATTCAGGAAGATTTGGGTGAAAGAACAAGTGCCAAAAGAGTGAAAAGAAAAATATCTAATCAAGATAGAAAAGAAAGATTTCATCAGGTGTGAAAACCATATAGGCAAGATCTTTTCATCTGGAAGCTGGTTTGTTCCCTCCCACAGTAGGCTGTTGCCCATGGTATCCGGCCAACGGACATTCAATATCTTGCAGACTTTGAAGGTAAAGATTTACAAATGCAGACTACATTTGTGAATGGATTCTAAATTAACTTTAACGTGATATAAGTATTTGGACCAACTGATATAGTCAGATGAGAATTAAGGCTGACAAATAAACTATAATTTTATGGACTAGTGAACTAAACTAAGCTTGATGACATTTATCTTGCTTAATATTAAGTATGATTTGTTTAAAAAACTACTCTATTAGTCGACCGATGATTCTACTTTTATGAAAGTATTCAGTCCTTTGTAACCTAGAAGTTACTTATTTTTTAACGGGAAGAGTAGGCTTAATATGAAGCTCAAAGGTGACTGAAGGGCTAGAAATTCAGGAACATGTATTGGGGCTCACTAACACCAGTATTTTTATGATTGTTAAAGTTACTACAACAAAATTTATTTTTGTTACCTTCTTAACTTTAATATTATTGTGACTGGAATGTGCTAATTACATTTCATGTATAAGTATTCCTATAATAACCCCCTTAGTAAGTTACATTTTCTTACTTTTTATTCGAGTGAAGTTATCATCATTGAAGTATTGTTGTGCACGATTCATTGATTTGTCTAGTTATGTTACTCCAATATAATATGTGAACTATTTCCGATCAGTGTTTTGTGTACTTTGGCCTTCGTAAATTGTAACAGTATGTTCACTGCTGAACAAAATGTTTCATTTTATCCCTTAAAGGAAGAAAAATGGGGATTAAACTAGTCACCATATCGGATTTTAATTTTTTCACCCTAATAAACGTAACACATACCGGACAATAAAAATCAAATCATTATGAAGTACTGTCCTTAAAATCATTCAAGTGACCGAGATGATGATGAGGGCAGATTAATTTAAAATTTGTACCATAAATAGTTTCTCGGTACAGAACAGAACTACACAAGTTGAAGGATATTAAAGATTTAATTGAAATAAATACCGCATTCGGAACTAAACTGCATCTAGCATGACTTTGGGATACATCTAAGAGGATAGCATGTATATCTTTCAGCAGTCGGTACAGCTGATTAGTGAAATAGTCCTATAGAACTAAATTAATAAATGTACAACACTTTCATAATAATTCTATGTAAGAGAGTTCGTACGTAGGATGAACTAAGATTCTATCGATCATACTTTGATACAAATAAC